GCCTTTTGGTCCATTGCTTGAATGGTAGTAAATCAGCAGCAGAGAGGGCTGAGGCACACTGATAATACCTGATTGCTACTTATGGATAATTTGAGTTGAAAATAAAAGTACTTTGTTTAAAAATGTTTCTGAGTGATGTTTATCTCTGGAATTCTGACCCATTCATTCACAGCCTTGTGAAAATAATCAATGAATTTGGGGTCTGGTAAGAAGAAAGGAGTCTCCCCGATCTTTGGCCAAAAAACTTCCCTAAAATAATTTTTACAAAGGGGCAGCTCAGAATCAAGTATACTGAAAAGTAAAACCATTACATTTTGTAGACACTCACAAACAAAAATTGTTCACAATAACTATGTTTGTACTGAACAGAATAGTAGAAATCACTCTTTCATTTTACATATAAAGAAACTAAGACATAAGGAAGTTAAATGATCTGACTAAGGCCATAGAGCTGATTAGTGACACTGGAACTGGAACTCATTCTGTTCTTTGATACTTGTCCAGATAACTTATCCTGACAGAATGATTAGAATGCAGTACTTACAATCTGATGGTTCCACAAGTGCCATGCTGAGGTTCTTTTAGAGGATGACTTTGTAAGTGGGTAATACCTCCCCTAGACATTTCTCAGTATGAAGCATTCTACTCGATTATCATGTTGGGATCTCAAGCATATGCACAAACAAGTTCTTTTTTTTGTTTGAGACAGAGTCTCACTGTGTTGCCCGGGCTAGAGTGCCGTGGCATCAGCCTAGCTCACAGCAACCTCAAACTCCTGGGCTCAAGGAATCCTCCTGCCTCAGCCTCCCGGGCAGCTGGGACTACAGGCATGCGCCACCATGCCTGGCTAATTTTTTCTATATATTTTTAGTTGTCCAATTAATTTCTTTCTAATTTTAGTAGAGACGGGGTCTCGCTCTTGCTCAGGCTGGTTTCGAACTCCTGAGCTCAAACAATGCGCCCGCCTCGGCCTCCCAGAGAGCTAGGATTACGGTGTGAGCCACCGTGCCCGGCCTCAAACAAGTTCTTGATAAGAGATTACATCTTTTCTTTTTCCCCAGTAAAAGTATTTAGCTCTATCTAAAAGCTACTCTGCTGTCTACACTCAAATATTTAATAGGTTTCTCTTCTGTCTAGGTTTGAATTTTTAAAAACTATATAAAGGAAACTGTGCCATAATAAGTGACTACAAACCAAATTAAAATAGAACATATTTAATGAGTATCCACGTGTACCAAACAGTATCTACAAACTAATTTTCATTTTCCTTTGTCCCACCACTTTAGCTACATGTAAATATTTTCTCTAATCTATTATACACGCTGAATTGAAACTAAAAATTTCCTTTTATTCTATTCCAAGTTTTAATAAAAGTTTTCCTTTTCATCCAATAAATTTGTTTGTGCAAGCAGAGGCATTTGGTCAATAATTTTTTACCCAGCACCTACTTACTACATGCCAGCCACTGTCCATACACTGACCTTTGATCCTACCTCTGCAACTTAATAGCTATTTGAATCTTAGGCAAACCCTTCTGAGCTCCCACAAATTTTCTCTCCTCTGTGCTAAAACAATCTCAGAACATCAAACCTAGAAACCCCACTTCTCCCTTTTAACCTATTCCATACCCGCTCTACAAAATAAAATTAAATAGGCCAGCCTTTAACACAGTAATGAAACAGATTGCTTGCAGCTCTAATAAATTAAAATTCAAGTACTTAGCATATGAAATTTAAAAATAAATGAAAGTATAAACCATAAGGCTTATATCTCAACCTTGTTCTTAATTTCTTGTCCCTTTGAGATATTTATTCCAAACAGACTTGGGATTGTTATATGAGATTTTTTTCCTTAATAAAATCTGAGATCATCAGTCTTAAAAACTATTATAATGGGTTTTTAATCTTTGGAATCAACTAGCCCAACTTGTTATTTTACAGATGAAGAAACTGTAGTATAGAATAGTATGCAGGATAAATAAAAACTATATTTTGAAAGAGTTTACATGACATAGGAAATGCTCACTACAGAATGTAGAATGGGAGAAAAAGGATTAAAACACTCTATATACAATACGATCCCAATTCTTCATTCTATTTCAAGTTTTATACATTTCCTGTTGTTTTTTTTTTTTTTTTTTGAGACAGGGTCTCACTCTACTGCCCTGAGTAGAGTGCCATGGCGTCAGCCTAGCTCACAGCAACCTCAAACTCCTGGGCTCAAGCGATCCTTCTGCCTCAGCCTCCCAAGTAGCTGGGATTACAGGCATGCGCCACCATGCCCGGCTAATTTTTTCTACATATTTTTAGTTGTCCAGCTAATTTCTTTCTATTGTTAGTAGAGACGGGGTCTCACTCTTGCTCAGACTGGTCTCGAACTCCTGAGCTCAAACGATCCACCCGCCTTGGCCTCCCAGAGTGCTAGGATTACAGGCGTGAGCCACCGCATCTGGCCTATGAATTTTCTATAATAAACACATATTTTTTTTATAACTTAAAATACTCAAAATATCTTTTTTATGTTTTGAATCAATAAATATATGAAAAAAAGTTGTGAAAAATAAAAGAAATATGGAGGCACCAAGAGGCACAATCCCACAGCTAATTGGAAATAAAATCAAAATAAGAACCCAGGTCCCATGGCATCCAATCCAGGGCTCTTTCCACTGTACCATATGACCTCTAAGACAGAAAAATGATATTCGTTAAATTTAATATTAATTTTTTTTATTTTACCACTACTTTTTGTCTCCTCAAATTTACTCACACAATGACCTTAAACAGTGCTAACAGATTACATTTTATAATACTATTACCAGATTAGCCCAGAGACAAAGCTTGAGAATTGACAGCTCATGATAATCTCCCAGCCTGTAAACAACAAGGGCATCTGTTTTGCCATATTCATCTTTGGAACCCTACCACATAGTCCAACACCTGGCACATAGTAGGTATTCAGTAAATGTTTATTTTGTAAACCATAGCTTTTTATTTCTCTGCTAGCACTAACTACTAGGCTTAAATATTAGACCAAACAAAAGCAGTGAAATCTCATTATTTTACATTTGGTAGTCTCTAAGCATTTACAAATATAAACAGAGGATTTACTAAACAAATTCATGTTTACAACAAAATGTAAGGAGAATATTAATGTTACTAAAATATTTCAAGCACTATACTAATTAACTGGTACTGTACATTCATTACAATAATTCTTATTGAAACAGGCCTGACTAACCTTTAGTCAGCATTACTTTGTTAGCCTAGTTGGAATCATCGAATGCACTAGAAAGCAATAAAATTACAGGTGTTGTACAAGGGGCACTGGACTAGAAGCTAGGCTCTAGTCCAAGCTCTGTTAATAATCGGATATATAATGCTGGGAAATTCACTTTTTCTTCTTTGAGTCTTAACCTATTTGTAAAAACAAGGGAGCTGAACTCCTAATCACTGGGGACCTTTCTAGTCTTAACTTTTTAAAAAAATGATTCTTATCCACAAAGATTCTATAATTCACTTTTTCATTATGTCAAATTTGACATTCTGAATGTGTTACAGTTTGCTACATTATTCAATAATCAAAAAGCTCAGCACATTTTCTAAAAATACATAAAGACTAGTAACATATAATTTTTACCATTTTACATTAGGAGAGAGCAATAAAAGAAAATCAAAGGAGAAACATCAGTATCCAATAAGCAGGCCTGCTTTGTCAGCTGAGCTGACGTCAACCACACTGGATTTTACAGTACAAACCACTGATGTATAAATACATATATGTGTATAAATATATGTGCATACCATTGGTATATACTTCTTAATGCTGATATGCATATATATGTGTGTGAACTTGAAAATTTGTTTTAATTATAAAATCAATATTTTTTTATGGTAAGAAAGTCAAACAGTACATTAAGCCACATATGAAGTATAAAGTCAAGTCTCTCACCCCTCTTCTCTGTAAGTAACCACTGTTAACATTTTTCTCCTGTATCTTTCAAGAAATTATCTGGACAAATACAAGTATGCATATGTATACGTGCATGTGTGTATAAATCTTTTTACTCTAAACTTTTTACAGTTTAGAGTAAACTGCCACTTCTTGAATGGTAGGGAAAATCTTAAGCACTTCATAAGCATGTTAAATACATTGAAATACATCCAAAGTGATAGCACAATTAATGGCACAAAGTATTATACTCTTCAGAAATGTGTGTTGAATTGAATACATTTCATTTTCATGCTTGGAGATATGGAAGCACAGAAAGAGTGGTGGGCAAGGAGCCAGACAACCTGGGTTCTAATGTAACTAGTTGAGTAGCCTTAGGCAAGCCATGAAACATCCTGAGCCCTTGTTTCTGTTTTTGTAAAATAACAGGGTTGAACTAAGGTCCCTTCCAACTCTAAAATGTTATAATTCTAAGATGGCCGTCTGTAACAGTGTTCTCTTGAACTGGCTGTAACAGATGTTATTAAGGAAAAAGGAGAAGAAGAAAGACGCACTATTGAAATCTATAGTCTCACTAGAGGGAATTTCTATGAGTCATTAACTATGAAGGTACAGTTGTGATAGAACTAGCGACATTTTGAAGGCAAAGTAGTAGATTACTAAAATCTGATAGGTTTTTACAAAGCTTTGATTGACGTTTTTCTTTTTTGGAGGTGGAGAGGGCTATTGCTTAGTTTCAGCAATAACCACTCCCCCGATCCCGAAAAGAAAACAATTTAAGTGTATTATGGAGTTAAAATAATGAAACTGAAAGTTGAATTGACATTTTGTTTTACAGAATATGCTGGGGAGGTGACTAGGGCAGCACAGGTTGGAAAAAATTACTAGCTAATTTCCTCTTCTGGAAGCTCTTTGGCCCCTATTCTTTTCTATTTCACACGCCCTAGCCAGACACGCTCCACCCCGCTCCATACATGCCACAGGTATCAGATGGGGGTGGGGAAGAATCCCTTTGATAGTATTTTTCAAAAAAGTTATTTGACTCGATTTACCTTAGGTGTCACGGGATTTAGGGAGGCAGTCCTGCGGGCCTGAAGCCAGCCACCCACCCACGCCTTCCTTCTGCAGTCCCGGTAACCTGGGCTCGAGCCCCGGCCCGGCCATCCCCGCCAGGCGGGCGCGGCCTTCCCGCCCTCCCCAGCAGCGCCGGGCCCGTGGGGAGTGGAGGGGAGAAAAAGGGAGGGGAGGGAAGAGGAGGGGAGAGAGGGAAAAGGGGGAGGGGAAAACCGCACAAGCTGTACCCACCGCGCCAAGAGAGCTGGCCCCAACCGCCCGCGGCGATCGGCCTGGTCCCGAAGGGAGGGTCCCGAAGGAGGGGCGGTCCGAGCCCCAATCTGGAAATGCCAACTCTGCTCTTCGGCCGGGCCCCTGCCTAGGTGAAGGAAACGGAAGTCCCTGCGTCTCCCTCACGCGCCTCCACCAGCCGGCCCATCCGCTGGAGAAACCCCGGGTCTGGAAACCCCAAGTACGGCCACGTCAGGGACTCCAAGGACACACCGGGCGCGGTCCGTCTGTCTCCCAGCCCAGGCCGCGCCACTGGGCCCCGGCCGTATTCTTCCCACCCCCCTGCCGAGAGGTCAGCCTCCAGCCCTGCAAAGCCCCTCCTTCTTCCCCCGCCTCCGCCATTTTTGAACTTACCACTCGGGCCCCGGCGTCCCTCGATTAGAGCCGCGCCCGCTCAGGGCGCTGCCAAGGTCCCGTCACTTTCCCGAGCCGGAAGGGGGCAGCAAGAAAAACCGAAGCCCTCTTACCCCCCCCGCCCCCCCAGCTGGAAACCTGAACCTGACCGAGCGGGCGCACATGCGCAGTGGGCACCTAGTAGTCCCCGCCCCCAGCTCGAGCGTTTCCTCTCTTAGCCTGGAGGGTGGTTTTTCCCACGGTTTTTACCTGCTAGGCTCTGGAGTTGAGGAATAGGGGAGTAGAGGTAAGAGAATGAAAAAGAGGAGAAACAATGGAGCTCAAATGTTGCGTTCTTACTATAGACCAGGTACTGTGCTAGCCATATAACGTGTTCTTTGTTGTAATTTTGATAACCTTGTAAGATAGGCACTCTCTTATTAAACCCATTTTACAGAGGAAACTGAGGCCCAGAGAGGATAATTATCCCAATATCACGTGGCTAATAAATGCGAGAACTGAGATTAGAATCGGATCTGTTTCCAAGGAGGTAAGTATGAAAGGAATGACAAGAAAGGAAGACCCTGGGGGTCAGAGGGTGTTAGGATTGGGAAGTGACAGGAAAATTAATAGAGGAGAAAGAAAGCAGACGGAGAGGAAACAAAGGAAGTTTGTGTACATAAAATCTGATCATACCCCGGATTTATTTCAAATATGTTGTAGGATTGTCAGATCGACATACGAATTTTTGTTTCAGGATCTTGGGCCTTTACAGGCTAGTGTAGTGAGATGATGGGTTCTGAATATTTCATTTCAAAGGGGAAGGTAGTAAGTATCCTGCATTGTCAAATGATGTTTCCCTTCCCAAAAAGGGAACTTGGAGGGAGGAAAGAATTTTCTTTTTGGTTCTTAAGCGTTTGTTAAGATATTATCCCTTCTGATCACCTTTCACTGTCACAGCTCTGGGAATCTCACATCTGATTTATTGCAATAATACTAATTGTAAGCAAATATTTATCTCATTTAATTCTCACAGCAATTGTATTTAGTATGTAAGTCATCCCTATTTTACAGATGAGGAAACTGAGATTTAGAGAGGTTAGGTGACTTGCCCAGATTGATGCTGCTAGTCTGTGTGGGAACTAGAACAGTGATTCCAACCCAGATCTGTCTGATCATGTTAGGTTGGGACAAAGAAGAAGGGAAACAGATGCTTCGTCTGAGGGGGGGTTGCATTGTGAAGTAAATGACATTAGGAGATGCCTTGTCTACCAGGAGGAACCAATTGACCAGAAGTGGGGCTTCCAAGAAAGAATAGATGATGCGTCAAGGGGTCCCCAAGGACTGACCAGATATTTAGTCTACGATAAAGGGTCTCCAAGAACTGACCACCCAGAAAGAGGTAGAAAGGCCACAAATGAGGGTCTCTAGAGCATGTGTACAAGTAAGGTGACAGTATCTTCAAGTGACCTACCCTGATTAACATAGGAAAAATCACACCCACCAGCACCATGACAGTTTACAAATACCGTGACAACCCCCGGAAATTGCCTTACAAAGATAGAAAAAGGGAAGATTCACCATTCCAGGAATTCTCCACATTTTCCCAAGAAAAACCATGACTATTCCACCCCCCACTTAACATAAAATTAGGAAATCAACATGAAAGGGAAAATCTTGTTAAACTCAGGGTCTCCTCCACTCACTGAGGTTGATCCATTCCTTCTCTGGAATATACTATACTTTAATAAACTTTCACCTTTTGCTTGCTTGCATCTGCTTGGTCTGCTCATTTACTCCGTCGACTCAATACCAGTAACCATTCTTCCATACTGGAAACCAAAAACCAGGAAACACAGGGACCTGGCATCTAGTTCCCACACCTGATAATCACAAATGTGTCTGATCATTACCCAGTCTGCTAACTGACTTCTCTGTCCCGAGACTGGTTTTCCCCAATCCAGCCTGCATAAAGCCATCTGAGTTAAACCCTTCAATACTGCCTCCAGGACAATATTAAAATTCCTTAGCTTCATGTTCACTCTCCCCTTGGACACCCTACCCTATCTTCTAACAAATCAGAGTTACTCATTTTGCCCCCGCCCATCCCCAGCTTTCCTGCCTTCCAACTAATTTGTTCAAACTGCTTCCTCTGCCTGGATGAAAAGACTGCACCTATGTGAAGCCTTCTCTGATTCCTTTATCTGAAGGTCTTCTCTTCTTCATCCTCAGAACTCTCTTCACACTTGAATTTTTGGTTTTGCTTTTTTTTTTAGCACTTTTCTATTGTGGTAAAATGTACACAACATAAAATTTACCAATTTAAGTGGCATTAAGTACGTTCATGTTGTTGTACAACCATTACCACCATCCATCTCTGGAACTTTTTCATCTTACTTGGCACTTAAATTTATACTTCTGGCTGGTCACGGTAGCTCACACCTGTAATCTCAGGACTTTGGGAGGCCCAGGCAGGAGGATTGCTTGAGGCCAGGAGTTTGAGGCTGCAGTGAGCTATGATCATGCCACTGCACTCCAGCGTGGGTGACAGAGCGAGACCCTGTCTGGAAAAAAATAATTTGTGCCTCAGTCATGGAGCATAGCGCTTGCTGCCATGTAGTATAGCTACTTGTGTACATACCTTATCTCTCCTATGTCATAAGTTTATTTATGGCAAGATCTGTTTTGAGCTCATTTTTGTAATTTCTCCAAAACCCTTAGAGTCATCTTTAATTCTTCTCTCTCATGTCCTACATCCAATCCATCAGCAAATCCTGTCATCTCTGTCTTCAAAATATATCCACGATATCACCAATTTGCATCAATTCCACCGTTAGGACCCTAGTGCATCTCTCTCTTGGACTATAATAGCCTCCTCACTGGTCTCCCAGCTTACATTTTGCCCCCCTCCAGTCTATTTGCACAGCAACCAGAGTTATCCTTATGAAATATAAGTCAGATCATTGTCATTTTTCTGCTCAAATCCCTTCGTTGGCTTCCCATTTCACTCAAAGTAAAAGCCGCAGATGTACAATGATCTACAAAGGCTATGGTAGGCAGCCATGAAGATGACCCCCAGTGATCTTTACCTCTGGCTATTTATACTCTTGGGTAGGTCTCTTATACATTGAACCAGGGCTGACTGTGTCACCAATAGAATTATGTTAGAAGTGATAGTGTGTGACTTACAAGGCTAGGTCATAAAAAGCATTGTGCTTTCTGCCTTGCTCTCTTTTGGATTCGTTGCTCTGGGGGAAGCCAGCCGTCATCTCATGAGGATACTCAAACAGCATGTGGAGACACCCACAGGGGGAGAAACTGAGTCCTCCCCCGCCCATCTCCTCCTCCCCACCAACAGCCAATACCAACTTGCCAACCATGTCAGTGAGCCACCTCAGAAGAGAATTCTTCAGGCCTAGGCTTCAGATTACTGCAACCTCTTGAGACCCAAATCCGGAAACACTCAGCCAAGTCACTCTTGAATTCCTGTGTATTATTTTTTTCAATAGCTAAATTTTAGCACAATTTGTCACACAGCAGTAGATAACTAATACAAAGACCCTAAACAATCTGGATCCCTGCTACTTTTATGTCCTTATCTCCTACTACTCTCCCCCTTGCTACTTTAGTTTTCCTGCCTCAGGGCCTTGGCACTTGCTGTTCACTCTGCCTGGAACACTTCACCCAGATAGCTCCATGTCTTGTCCTTCCCCTCCTTCAAGTGTTTCCTTAATTGTTACCTTCTCCAAAAGGCCTGCAGTGACCACCATATTTAAAATTATAGCTCCTCCTCCCAGCACTCCCAATCTCCCTTCCCCTGATCTACTTTCTCCTTTTCCAATGGCATCTATCACTTTCTAACATACTCTATGGTTCTTTTATTTATTATTATGTTTCTTTATCATACATCTCCTTCCTCCCATCCCTGCTAGAATATATGCTCCACGAGCACAGGGATCTTTGTTTTATTCACTGATATATTTCTTTTCTTTTCTTTCTTTTTTTTTTTTTGAGACGGAGTCTCACTCTATTGCCTGGGCTAGAGTGCCATGGCGTCAGCCTAGCTCACAACAACCTCAAACTCATGGGCTCAGGTGATCCCCCTGCCTCAGCCTCCCAAGTAGCTGGGACTACAGGCATGCACCACCATGCCCGGCTAATTTTTTTTTCTATCTGTAGTTGCCTGGCCAATTTTTTCTATTGTTAGTAGAGACAGGGTCTCGCTCTTGCTCAGGCTGGTCTCGAACTCCTGACCTCAAGCAATCCTCCTGCCTCAGCCTCCCAGAGTGCTAGAATTACAGGCGTGAGCCACTGTGCCCAGCTTTCACTGATATATTTCAAGTGCTTAGAAGAGTGTCTGACACAGTATATGTGCTCAGAAGATATTTGTCCAATGAGTGAATAAACATTT